CTGCTGACTGCAAATCCTTTTCTGACAAACTTCTGCTTAGCCAAACCCTCCACCTTCTATACTTGTGAAGCTGATTTTTTGAACCCACAAGTAAAACTTTACATAAATTGATCTGCTATTGCAGTTCATCCTACTAATTAGGTTTAGCCAAGTGGTCGAGCCTGTCGAGATCTCTCTGGAACCTGTCTCTCTCATTCACTATGTTTGTTATTCTCCCAAGTTAACAAACATTCCATCTGTGCCTTTATAAGGCATTTATAAAAATGTTCAACTGTGTAGTGACAAGCACCAGACCCTGAAGAAATCCACTGGAGACCTTCTGCCAAGTTGACATTGAACCATCAATGACAATTCAACCAGTTCCAAATCCATCCAATTTTGTAATTGTCTAATCCACAACTCTACACATGAAAAAAAATGGCATGAGATACTTATTCAATGTTGCACTAAAAGCAACGTAAACCATGTCTACCAGTTCATTTACTGTGTTAAATCACCATGATCTCTTCTGGAGTTTTGCTAACTATCTCTTCAATGATCTGTCTGAGGATTTTCCCAGAAACCGAAGGCAAGTTCACTGGCCTCGAGTTTGCAGCCCCTGTCCTTTCTTCTGTTTTTTGACCGTCAGGACAGCTTTTGCCATTTTCTGATCTTACGGAATTTCTCCCATTTTTCATGATCTTTCAAATATCACTAACATTATGGCCCCACAGTCACGTCTGCCAATTTTCTTAGTGTTGGGCATGTAGTTTATCCAGACCAGGTAATTTGAATTCATCAAGAGCCTCGCCCTGTGTGTTCAATCAGTTGCCAAATCCTGTGATTTCTTTAGGTTCTTTCTTACTCTTTCCTTACTACTCCTTACTAACTAGCTATTTTAATTCTGTCATTTATTTTAATGTATATTTTATTTCTATTGTCAAGTATTTCCCAATTACACTTAAAAGTTTTTGACATTCATTTTTTAAAATTTTGAGTTCCAAATTCTCTTCCTCCCTCCTGACCCTCCCCGCTTTGAGCAGGCAAGCAATATGATGTCAATTATACATATGAAGTCATTCAAAACTTATTTTCATGGTGCAAAAGAAAACATGCAAAAAAACTCCTAACAAAAATAAAGGGAAAAAAATATGCTTCAATCTGCACTCAGAGTTCATCAGTTCTCTTTCTGGAGGTGAGTAACATTTTCATCATAGGTCCTTTGGAATCGTCTTGGATCATTGCCTTGATCAGAGCAGCCAAGTCTTTCACAGCTGATCATCCTTACAGTGTTTCTATTACTGTGTACACCATTCTCCTGGTTCTGCTCCCTTCACTTTGCATCAGTTCATGTAAGTCCTGCCATGGTTTTCTGAAACCACCCCTCTCATCATTCCCCACAGCACAATAGTATTCCATCACAGTCATGTACCACAACTTGTTCAGCCATTCCCCAACTGATGGGCATCCCCTCAGTTTCCAATTCTTTGCCACCACAAAAAGCTGCTCTAAGTATTCTTGTACATGTGGGTCCTTTTCCCTTGTCTTTGATCTCTTTGGGATACAGACCCAGGAATCATTCCATCATTTCTCGTGCCAAGGTCATTCTCCTTGGCAGAGGAAACAAAAGGTCTCTCTTCAAGGAGCCCGGGCTGGCTTACAAACAGATACAAACAATGACATCTATAGTGAGCGTGGGAGAGCTCCCCATTTTTTCTTCCTGTAGAAGTATATAAAGTAAACAATAACCACAGGCAAGAGGGCAGATGACCAAAAAGTACCCCCCCATCTTCTCCAATGAAAACCAGGCCCGAGGGCTTTGTTGTCCTCCCTAAAGGTTCTAGGCTTTGTTCAGGATGTTTTCCCAAAGTTCCCTTTGTGGGGCACCCATAAACCTCCACTGTCTTTTCTGGCCAGCCAGGGTGAGGGATGCAGAGCCGGAGCTGGCATCCGTTCCTTAGCTGTCCACGAGAAGGTTTTCCTTCAAAGGTAGCCAGCATGAGGAGTGCCTGGCTGGCAAGGGGGATGGAGGAGGGCTGGGACCAGAGTAAGGGGGAGGCTGAGAGAAGGGCATTTTCTCTGGTGAAGAAAGAGAAGCCTGTCTGTCTGTGCTTCACGTGGACACACAAACCACTTTCATGTGCAGGACACGTGGGGGGACGTGCACGGATCCCCGCACACAGACTGGAAGGGTTGCCCAGAAAGAACAGGAGCCTTTTCTTCATCCTACAAATCAGCATATCCCCGACATCAGCAGTTCCTCTTTGCCACTGGGAGCCAAGAAACAGGGAGCACCTGCAGGTGGGGAGGCAGTCATTCGCCCTGCACCTTGGTGAGCTCTCAGAGCTGGAAGTGATCTTGGAAATCAGATGGTCAGAAGACCACAGGCTTATAGGTTTAGAGCCAGAAGAGACCATCCAGGTTATTCAGACCCACCCCCTCATTTTATAAGTGAGGAAACCGAGGCTTGGAGAGGCCATGTGACTTCATAGGATCAGAGGACGAGACCTGGAAAGGGTCTCAGCGGTCATCTCACACACCCCCTCATTTTACAAGTGAGGATCCTTCAGTTCAATTAAACAAACATTTATTGAGTGCCTACTATGTAAGCCAGGAAATGTGCTAGGTTCTAGGGACACAAAGATCTATCCTTAAGCAGCTTTGGTTCTACTGGATGGGAATGAGATGTATACAGCTAAGTAAATAACAAGTAGATGCAAAGGAATTTGGGAGGGGGGAGGGTACTAACAACTGGGCAGATCAAGAAGGGCTTCTTGGAGGAAGCCACACTTGAGACGAGAAGACAGAGCTTTCCTGGCATAGGATACAGCCACTGCATTGGCAAGGTGGAAGGAGATGAAACGTCATGTCCACTCTCTGCTTTTCGTCTCGTCTCAGACCTGTGCATTCTGGCTCCTGCCCTCATCACCTCACTGAAGCGGCTCTCTGCGGAGGTTATTGCCAAGCCTGATATGCTTTTCTCAGTCTTTGTCCTTCCTGACCTCTCAGCAGCCTCTGCCACTAAGAATCACCTCCTTCATATTCTCTTCTCTCTAGGTTTTCGTGACGTTTCTGGTTTTCCTCCCACCTCTCTGACCATTCTTCAGTCTCTTTTGCTAGCTCTTCATCCAGGTCATTGCCCACTAGCTCGGGTATCCCCTCCTCGACCTGTTCTGGGCACTTCTTCCTTCTCTCTCTAGACTGTTTCCCTTGGTGATCTCATCAGCTCCCAGAGATTCAAAGATCATCTCTACACAGAGACAGGACTCAAGCCCATATCCTCTTCCTAATTCCATGTAAGGCTGGCTCTCTGACTAATTGGCCTCTGTTAACATGACCTCATGCTTCCCCGAGTGCTTTATACACACTGGGTGCTCAGTGTTTGTGGAGCTGAACTGAATCGAATCTAGCTCATGCTTAGAGAAGACTTCAAGGTTTACAAAACATTAGCTGAGAAACAACATGGTGTGGTCTAAAGAATGTTGGCCTTGGAATCAGTGGAGACTGAAACTGGAATCCCAGTCTTGCTATTTGCTGCCAGTGTGACCTTTGGCAAATAATTTGCCTTCTCTGTGCCTCAGTTTCTTCCTTAGTACAATGAGGGATTTGGGACCCTATGCTCTCTAAAGTACCTTCTGGTTATAGATACTATGATCCCCCTTTGATCCTTCCAACAACTCTGGAAGGATGGGTCCTGTTATTATCCCCATTTTGTGGATCAGTAGACTGAGGCTCAGAGAGGAGAAGCAATTTGCCCAAAGTCATATAGCTGTAAAAGGGTAAAGGTGATACTCTTTACTATATCACTCCGCTTCTCAAAGGAAGAATGACTTCATTCGTATTGTAATAATAGTAATAATAATTGGTAACATGTAAAGAGCACTTTGTGCCAGGCACTGTGCTGAGCACTTTACAATTATTACATTGGAAGATGCAAGCATTAGCCCCTGAGAGGGGGAGGAGGAGAGGAAGGGGTTCTGGGAGGGAGCAGCCTCTAAATGGAAGAAGGAGTGGGGAAATGAGGATTCCGAGAGGCAAAGATTAGGAGGGAGGACTTTCCAAGCTTCTGGATTTTCCTGGAGCTGAGAGATGAAGTCGAGTTCAGGGATAGACGGCCTGCTCCTCCAATTTTCAGGTGACACAAACTTGTGTTGGGTAGCCAGGATGTTGGATAACAGAGTCAGGATCCAAAAAGATTCTGACTGGAAAAAAACAAACCATTTCCCAGAGCAGGGCAGAGAGGAGATGTGGCTTGTCGCCTTTCGGTCGTGTCCAGCTCTCTGTGACCCTGTTTGGAGTTTTCTTGGCAGAGTTACTCGAGTGGTTGGCCATTTCCTTCTCCAAGTCATTTTACAGAGGTGGAAACTGAGGCAAACAGGGTAAAGTGACTCACCCAGGGCCACACAGCTAGTAAGTGTCTGAGGCCAGATTTGGACTCATGATGAGTCTTCCTGACTCCAAGCTCAGCGCTCTATCCACTGCACCACCCAGCTGCCCAAAGACGTGGCTAGACAGCAGTTGACCAGACAAAAATGGGGCAGGGGGAGTGGTGTGTAGGGAAATGCAAGTTTCGGCCAGCAGTTTGCTATGGCAACCCCCCAAGCTAAGGCAATCCTAGGCTGCCTTACGAAGAGCCGGACTTGGAGGAAGGGAGCACTTTTGTACTCTGCACTGGGCAGCTCTCTGAATGTCTTCTGCTTGGGAAGCTGCACTTTGGGAAAGAGGGTGGAGAGTGTCTAGAGGAGGAAACCGGGGTGGTCTAGAGCAGGGTTGTGAAGTTTGGACTCAGTCAAAGGCTGCACTTGAGGACCTAGAGGGTCACACGTGGCCTCGAGGCCTAAGGTTCCCCACCCCTGTTCTCGAGTCTGGAGACTGTGCCATATTAGGACTGGTACGGCCCGGAGGAGAAAAGACTTGGCAAGGACACAATTGTTGTCTTCAGCGTTGGCATGACGCTGAGATGGATTATGTTTGCTCAGCCTGGCCCGAGGGCAGAACGGGGAGCAGCTATGGGTGTGAAGGGGCTGGGCACAGAGGGAGGTGTGTAAATAAGCAGATTAGGGCTGGATTCTAAAACATCCTTAAAAATGAGAACTTTCCAAAGATGGCATGGACTACATCTAGAGGTGCTAAGTTCCACATCGCTAAAGCTCCTGAGTGACCACTGCTTTGGGGTATGGTGAGTGAGTTCTTGCTAGGCTTCTGACAGTTCTCCCCTCCCTGAAATTCTCCGATTTTGTGATTCGTCAGTGTTTGTCTGAGCTAGCAGGGAGGATCAGGGCACTGGCTTTAGCTGGTCAGGTTAAAAGAGGCAGTCTCTCTGCTGATGGGAGTTGGCCTTAGGGGGCAGCTAGGTGGCCGCAATGGTTAGAAAACTAAGCTTGGAATCGGGAAGACTCCTCTTCATGAGTTCAAATCTGGCCTCAGACATTTCCTAGTTGTGTGACCCTGCACAAGTCACTTCACCCTGTTTGCCTCAGTTTCCTCATTTGTAAAATGAACTGGAGAAGGAACTGGCAAACCAGTCCAGTAGCTTTGGCAAGAAAACCCCAAATGGGGTCATGGAAAGTCAAACACCAGAAGGGAAATGACTGAACTACATGAAACTACTCAGATTTTTGTCTGAGAGCAGAATTCAAAGGGTCCTCTCATCTCTGCTCTGAAGGGCAAAACTCCACCCCTCCCTGGAAGCCAACAGAAGCCTCTCAGCATCTCCTTAATAATGCCTACTGCTGATTTCTAAGACAATCACACAATGTGGGCATTTGTACTAGAAGATTAAGCAAAAATTAGATTATTTAGAGCAGTCTAATTCAGGCCATGCCTGATATGGCTTCTAATATTGCTAGGACTGCTTTCTGCTTTAACAGGCCAGCCCCCAAAGCAAACAAAACGTTGGCCCTGGCTGACCTCCAAAGAGGACCTGAATCCTCTGTTTTCCAATGTACAGTACCAGCCTCTTAAAGTAAAACAAGAAAAGAAAAGAAAAAGGGAAAAAAAAGATAAGAAAAACCACCCAGCTTCCAAGGCTCCTCAAAGACAGCATGAAAGGAGTCTAAGCGTTTTCTATTTACCAATGCAGAAACATTCTTCCATCTTCTCTAGAGACTGTCTTTGCATCCCAAACATTCTCCTTCTCTCTTCTTGCCAAACCCAAACAATTCTAATTTGTTTTCTCTGTTTCTTAGACTTTCTGCCTTCCTTTCTTTGACTCTAGGGCTTTTCATGCTGGCTGTTTCTGGCATCAGAAACCCAAGGGCTCTGGCTTCACTCCCCTGGATCTCTCAGCCCTCCAGTGGAGATGTCAAATGTTCATGCTGCAGGGTAAACAAAGTCAACCAATCTCCCCCCCCACCCCACCCCCACCCCAGTCTTTTCTTCCCAATGGGAGTTGGGGGGTGGGAAGAAAAAAATTGAAGGGCATGGAAATTAAATATATGTGATTATTCTTTATTGCATTTTGTGGACTTCAACTCACTTTGTGATTTTAGATATATAAAAATTATGAACAACTCATCTTTTTATATTTAAAATGATAGAAATTTTTTTGGATAAAAATTTTGGATAAAATTTGGATTAAAAAATAGGATAAAAAGTCCTACCACAATTCACGTGAAATGATTGATTTTTGTCACAAACAGATCTGATGATTTTGTGAGATCACTAAAGTGAGAAAGCAGGTCACCCATGTGTCTCTTATCTGTGTCCTCCCATGTGTTCAGACAGGGGGTCCACCCAATGTGCTGGGAGGCATTCCTCCATTTCTCCTGATATTGGGCGAACCCCCCTTTGAGGAAGCGCTCCCAGGCAATTCCCTGTTGCCCATGTGGTCTGGCTGGTTGTACAGTGACTTTGATAATAGCCTTTACTCCTCATTTGATGGTGCAATTATTCATGTATAATGCATTGCAGCCTACTCACCTATACCACAGTCCCCTCCACTGCCCTTTGGTCAACCACCAATTTCAATTCCTCAGAGACTGTGACAAACCCAGCTGCTGGCTGCTGAGCTCAAAGGAATCTACCTTCTCTTTGTTGTTGCTCATGAGGAAAAGCAGGCAGTGAAAATACAATCAACAAGCATTTATTAGGTGCTTCCTGTGCACCAGGCACCATGCTAAGCTCTGGAAATACAAAGACAAAAAGAGCTTCCACTCTCTCAGGGAAGATGGCCCCAGATGGCGCTTCACATCCAGCTCCCTGGGCCATCTGGAGGCATGGCGCCGTCCATTCTGGTGTCGCACGAACACGTACGTACGTTGTATGATAGCAAGTGTTTAATACATGCTATTGATCATGCTAACTCCCCGTACTAAGAATGTAATTTCTGTCTTTGTCCCAATACCTGGCACGGGCTAGGTTCCCGCTGCTCAGAGAGTGTGTCAGGCCACTGGGAGGCCTTCATCCCTACTCCCACCCTAGTCCTTCCTGCAGTCCAGGTTCCCCTAGGACTTCCCCTTCCTCCCGACTTTGTTGCCAACAGATGAGAAAACTGAGGCTCATGCATGTAAAAAGATCTGCCCAGGGTCGCACAGTTGGAAAGCGTTCGAAGGCGGGCTTTGAACTCAGGTCTCCCCTGACTCTAAGTCAGCTCCCCTCATTTCAACCATGCTCCTAGTAAGACTAGACTTAAACTTCCCTTAGTATACTCACTCACTTAATCAATACACATTTATGAAGAGCCTATTTCACCTCTGTTGGCCTCAGTTTCCTCCTCTGTAAAATGGGTATAATAATAGCACCTCCCAGGGTGGTGGTTGTGAGGATCAAAGCTACTTAGCACAGTGCCTGGCACATAATGGGCATCACATAAGCATTAGCTGTTATTATTACTGCTGCGTGCCAGGCACTGTGCTAAGTGCTAGGGATACGAAAGTAGAAAAGACAGTCCCTGACCTCAAGGTGCTAACAGTCTAAGCGAGGAGAGAACATGCAAACAAATGCACAGGAAGTAATCACCAGAGGGACTAGCCAGAACTAAGAGGGGCTGGGGAAGGCTTCCAACAAGAGATTTTCATTGGGACTTAAAGGAAGCCAGGGAGGTCAGCGGTCGGAGGGGAGGAGGACAGAGAGCGTTCCAGGCTCAGAGGCTGGCCAGAGAACGGCCAGAGCCCGGAGCTGGTGTTTTGTTCATGGAACAGGCAGGAGTCACTGGATGGAGGAGTACTAGGTGGGCAGCAGGGTGACAGAAGGCTGGAAAGGAGGGAAGGGGCTGGCTGGGAAGGGCTTTGAAAGCCAAACCAAGTGTTTGAATTTGGTCCTGGAGGCACCCCCCTGCCGTCCTTGAAATGCCTCCACTACCTTCCTCTGTAAACGGAAGCCGTTGTAGAGAAGACTTCACAGGCCTCCTCCAGTTTTGTGACTCTGAACCCTGTCCTCTGGCCGGGACAGCGCCATCCTTCCTCGGAGCTGGCTCCCGGGCTAGACACGAGCTGCCTTGTGCCCTGGCTCTTGGCTGCCCCCCCGTGGTGGGACTCTACCTGGCCGCTGCCATTGGGATCCCTTCCCATCCCCCCAATAGTCACGGAATAGCAGCTCTGGTCCATCTGGGCCATCACCAGTCCTCTTGAGTTTTGTCTCACCTTTGGACTCCTATCTCTTTGGAGGAGAGACTGAGGCCGATAGCTTTGTGCAGCTCTGCCACACTTAAATCCAATTCACTCACAAGTCAAGACATCATCCCACAATGTCATTGGTCCTCTTGGAGAATGAAGGACAGACAACACTAATAAAAACAGCTCCCGCTTGGGAGGCTTTCAGGCTTCTGGAATTCTTTCCCGGTAGTAGGCAGGTGAAGAGCCTTGTCTTCATTTAACAGATAAGGAGACAAACTCAGGTAAAGGGACTCCTCCCAGGTCACTCATCTCATCCATAACAGGGCAGGATCAGGACTTGAACCCAGAGCTGACCCTAGGTCTCCTCCGTTGACCCCGACGCACCCTCCATGTACACCGCACTGACTCTTTGTGTTAATTTGGAGCTCAGACATGATTTTTCCTTAGGAAAAAAAAAATGTTACAAATAACGTTTTGGTCCCTGGCAGGTCTACAGGAGGCTATATCTCTCGCCTGCCTTTTTTTTTTTTCCATTTTGGTCTTGACCTGTAATTTCATCAGTTGAGGGAATTCCCCTTCCCCACCCACCAAAGCAGATAATTATAATAGCTAGCTTTAATTATTAAATTTAACGACTTAAAACTATACCAAGACTTTGGGGATGCCCTGTATAACACTTTAAAGTTTGCAAAGTGCTTTACATATGTTATATCATTGGATTGTGACAGCCCTGTGAAGGAGGTACTCTTGTTATCCCCATTTTAGAGATGAGGAAATTGAAGCAGACAGAGGTGAAGTAACCTCCCCTGAGTTACCCAGCTTAGTAAGGGTCTGAGGTGGGATTAGAACTCAGGTCTTCCTGACACCAAGCTCAGCATTTTATCTACTCCATGTAGCTGAACCAATATAAATAACCTATCTAGAGTATGACTTAGTCTCATAGAGTCGAAGTTAGTAGAGAACCACCCCACCTCTGTGTGCCAGAACGTGTCTGGGTCTAGAACCAAGTCTTCTCGACCCCAGGCCCAGCCCTCAAGCGGTTCTGTTCACTTCCACTTGATGCCTTTCATGGCTCCCAAGGAGTTCATTTCTCATTCTGCTCCCCTGTCTGGGCCTGCTGCTTTCTCTGTGAAGTAGGGCTTTGTCTGGATGACCTCCTTTCCATCTCTAGACCCTCTGAAGTATATGGCAGCAAACTCAGGCTGCACCCGGTCCTCACAACTCTGAAGTACGCAGGAATTACTTTAAAATATAGTTGGGAAATGTTTAACAAAAAAAGTTAAAATACAATTCAACACAGATAATGTCAGTCTGTGGTTTTCTAGGTCAATCTGCAGCCCAGGGTGGTCTGTTTCTGCTTGAGCCTTATACCGCTGATGGATGGGAGGAAGGAGGCCTGGGCTTGAATGGAAGCCCTGAGTTTGGACTGTGGGCAAGTCACCTCACCCCTCAGCCTCAGTTTCCTCATTTATAAAGTGAAGGGGTAGGGTAGATGCCCTCTGCGGTCCTCTCCATTCCTTAGTTCTACAGTCCTACACTAGCAATCCTCAGGAGCCAGCACGCCCTCTCCTCCTATCATCCTCAATTAACACAAGCTCTCTTCCCTGTGTGAGATGCTCACTCTTTGCGTGTCTATTTCTCAGAATTCTTGTTGTCCTTCAAGGCTCAGATTGAGCAGTATCTTCTTGAAGGGCCTTTCTGTGACCCCTCCAGTGTTCTGGGCTCTTTCCTGCCTCAATTTACCTTGTGTTTACTTCTAATACTAATAAAAGCTAACATTTCCACAGTGCTTTCAGTTATATAAAGCATTTTACATGTATTACCTCATTTGATCCTCACAACAACCCTGGGAGGGAGGTGCTATTATTATCCCCATTTTACAGAGGAGGAAACTGAGGCAAACAGAGGTTAAGTGACTTGCCCAAGGTCCCAGGGCTAGTAAGTGTCTCAGTTTGGATTTGAATTCAGGTCTTCTGGACCCAGCGTTCTGTCCATTGGGCCACCTAGCTGCCCCTAGTAAGTCTGAGACCAGACTTGAACCCAAATCTTCCTCACTCCAATCCTAACGCTGTGTCTGCTGTAACAACTATTTGCCTACAAGATGAGGGGCAGCTAGGTGGCCCATCGAGTGCTGGACCTGGATTCAGGAAGATTCATCTTCCTTAGTTCAAAGCCAGCCTCAGACACTTACTAGCTGTGAGACCCTTGCTCCTAGGTAGTAAATCACTTAACCCTGTTTGCCTCGGTTTCTTCAAATGTAAAAGGTGCTGGAGAAGGAAATGGCAAACCACCCACATGGGATCATGAAAGCCTGAAACAACTGAAAAATGACAGAACGTGAACATAGAAGACGCTCTTTGAGGGTAGGAAATTTTGTTTCTCCATTTTGTCTCTGCATCTCCATTGCTTAGGAGCATTGCGTGTGGTAGGGGCTTAAAAAATATGTATTAAGCTGAATTGAAATGAATTGAATTGGCATTTTGTTCCCCAGAGAAGGCTCCCTTTCGTTCTCTCATTGCTTTCTGGGCAGTTTCCACATTTCCACGAGGGGGTTGGACTAGGTGACCTTCATGTTCCCTTCCAGCTCTCAGTCTGTGACCCTAGAACATCATTACCACCACCAGCACCACCGCCAGCACCCAGAATCTCCAGGCCTCTGAGAGGTGATTTGGGATCTGATATTGGTTGTATCCTTCCCTAAAGCTACAGCATCCAAGAAAATGGCATCTCCCTCATTTTACCGATGAGGAAACTGAGGCTCAGAGAGGTGAAGGTGTCTAATATGGAATCCATTGTCCTTCCTCCAAAATCTATCCCACCTCCAAACATCATCCTTCAGTCCCCCAAGCTTGTAACTTTGGAGTCACTGCTGACTCTTCTCTCTCCCCAGCAAGGTGGCCGAGGGGATGAAGCACTGGGCCTAGACTGGGAAAGACTTGAGTTCATATCTACCCTCAGACATTTGTTAGCAAGACACCTAACCGCTGTCTGCTATAGACATGGGTCTGTCTATAGACTGTTATAAAATGGGAGTGCTAACAGCACTCACCTTCCAGGGTTGTTGTGAAGATCAAGTGGCATGATATTTGTAAAGTGCTCAGCACAGAGCTCGGCAGATGGTAGGGACTTAATGAATGCTTGCTTCCTTTTCCTTCCCATCTCCATCCAATCAGTTTCTTTCCCCATGGAATCTCTCACACCCGTAGCCTTTCCTCCATTTGCACAAACAACCCTAGTTCAGACTCTTATCACACCTCCCCTTATCTATTGCCCCAGGCTTCTAAATGGTCCTGTTTAGTCTGTTAGAAAATCAGCTCCTTAATAAACAACTTTAGCAAAGTTGCAGGATATAAAATAAACCCACATAAACCACTGACATTTCTATATATTACTAACAAAACCCAACAGCAGGAGATAGAAAGAGAAATTCCATTTAAAGTTACTGTAGACATTATAAAATATTTAGGAGTCTACCTGCTGAAACAAACCCAGGAACTATATGAACACATTTGCAAACACTTTTCACACAAATAAAGTCAGATCTAAATAACTGGAAAAACATCAGTAGGCTGAGCTAATAAAAATGACAATTCTAACTAAATTAATTTACTTATTCAGTGCCATACCAAACAAACAAAAAATTATTTTGTACAGCTAGAAAAAATAATAACAAGATTCATCTGGAAGAAGAAAAGTTCCAGAATATCGAGGGAATTAATGAAACGAAATACAAGGGAAGGTGGCCTAGCCGTACCTGATCTTAAATTGTATTATAAAGCAGCAATCATCAAAACTACTTGGTACAGGCTAAGAAATAAAGTGGTGGATCAGTGGAATAGGTTAGGTACACAAGACACAGTAGTCAATGACTATAGTGATCTACTGTTTGATAAACCCGAAGACCCCAGCTTCTGGGATAAGAACTCACTGTTTGACAAAACCTGTTGGGAAAACTGGAAAATAGTATGGCAGAAACTGGGCATAAACCAATATCTTACACCATGTACCAAAATAAAGTCAAAATGGATACACAATTTAAATATAAAGCAAACTGGGAGAGCAAGGAATAGTTTGCTTGTCAGATCTATGGAGAAGGGAGGAATT